ATTACAGATCGGCTTCCTCATTCTGAATTCTGCAACGATATCACAGCAATTGTACTGATGGCTCTCTGAGATTTCAGCTCATCGAGAAACTTCATTGATCTTCATGATTTGTCGCGAGTTTCATTAGAGCCATGAGGCTTGAAGTATATAGACACAGCGGAACACAATCTTCACCATAAATAATGTATAAATAAACATGGCTTTACTAACGTATAAACTTGTTACCATGGTTTATACCTTAAACTTGAGCTATGATCTGCTTTATTCGCTTAATTACTTCCTCTATTTCTACGACTTTTATTGCAATTTTCAATTATTAAATAAATCATTAAAAGTCGTTTTTCAAGCATTCCTATATCTTTCTAGCCCTCTGCTTTTGAGTGATGTAATCCTATAATGTCACTTTTATTATACGCCCAAATAACGATTTTGTTGTATTAATTTAAAGAGTGATTGGCATTTTGAATGCAGCTGTAATATCACGAGAACTCGCAGGCATTAAACTCAAACCATAGCATGGCTCATTATAGTATTTAAAATTCAGTATTTGGACAAAAATCTTTAAAATCTTATTTGAAACAGGAGCAAAGCACAGCAGATTAACTTCAAGACATTTAAGATCGACTTTACAAGGAAAACAATTCAGTTGAAAATGTCCAACGACGTTTAACGAGGATAATTTCACGCTTAAAGGTTAAGTGTTATGCAGAAGATAAGCTATTATAAAGCTTCCAAATCCATGTTTTCGCCGTCTGAGTGGCAACCTTATCGCCGTTTGCAAGTATTATACGCATGGTTTATACGAACTTCTAGAAGAATTACTAAGATATTAAGTAAGAATCATTTCTTCTCGCTTCGAGGCTTGCAGTAAATCAGTCATCTATTGGGAGAAAACCATTTATCTGGATACAACTTACAAGGCCACTTTCTGTCAAAATTAATTCATGATTAAATGATAAATGTGCGATTCAGCGTACAATTCATTTTATTAATGAACGAAAACACGTAACTTATAAATTCAAGAGCAGTGGTATAATAAAAAAGTTGATGATGTTACCCTTATTGACTGCAGACCTTTTATAAACCCAGTCAGCGGGTGCTGCTTATATGAATGAAAAAAAAAGAGGTATGAAACTTGATGAAATATCAGCGACTAATAAATGTTCACGTAGATTTTGAAGGGGTGATTTACATTGAATAAGTGATTGATTTACCTTTTTTCATAACTCTGCACTCTGCTTGCTTGATATTTTCGAGATACAAGCGTTGAACCTCTGACACTTGGTGCCGCCATTGTTGATTTAAGCACTACTAGCTAGTGCTAAGTGTTGACGGAGAGTGCGGAATGACGATCGCAACAAAACGAACTCTTCTGCTTGATCTGACTGCAACAGATCCCAATATAGTAATTAGTCAGTTGTTAAAGATACGAAACTGATTATTTCCTTTATTCGCTTCAATTTTCTCATTAACCCCGAAATTTTACCATTTTCACATTTTTTGTATCAATTTTGCCGCTGTCTTTCTATCTTTATCATTATTCGCCATCATGAAATTCTATTCTGAATCACAAGAAGAGCTATTGGCGGCAGCCTGACTATGAAAACGAATTGAACACAGAAAATTTCAAATTCACGAAGATGTTTCGGGAGACTGAAATATCTAACAGTAATCTTGAAACCCCAAAAACGATAGCACGATAGCTAACAAAATTTCACACCTGACGTGGCCATTGCTGCTTCAAGTGTTAATGTAGGTCTAAATTACGGAGTGGTGATTTATAACATAACAAAACATAACATAGTGATGTCGGCGCTGAATAGTAGGCCTGATGTGGCCTGTCGCCGATTCTTGTACTTTTGGTGACTTGTCCACAGAAGATCTAAAAGCATGTCCTTTGACCGGATCTTTTCCCCGGAGCATGTCCTTTGACCTGACTGACGATAGTTTAAAATAGTTACTAAACTTCCACCAGGATCGATTTGGTGCTAGGCATTTCAATTCTGAACATATATTTTTCCATGGCTTTATCTTGTCTGTTCTTGAACGTGTTTATACTCGGACAGGCTGTTCCACATGTCGGTGATTCGAAGTGAAAAGAAATGTTGCGTAGATTATTATTCTACTAAACATTTATCGTGGCGTCTGGTTCAAACGAACTTCGAGGGCACGTCAGACATAAGATTAATAGCAAGCGAAAAATAAATAGGCATAAGAAAGGATGAGAACGGATAAAATGACTAAGTACTAGATTCATAGGCTCTACGAAATAGTTCCGTCTTTAGGCGTCGATGAAAAACCTGCAACGAAGGAGCCGAAGTTACGGAAGCCGGCATACTGTTAAAAAAAGGTTCTGGCGGCGGCGACCGGGAACGCGCTGTAACCGACGGGAGATAGACAATGGTAGATAGACATGTAGACGGTACGATGATCGGATGAGGTCCGCTCTTGATGACGAGCGCAATGGTCTTCTAGAAGGCAGACACGCGCTGATCCGACGATATAATGTGAAGGTAGTGACTTTTATTGCACCAGTGCTAAATAGTAATAATTTATCACATAATAAGATCTGAGAATTACGGAAGCGCTCAGTTTTCCGCCGCATTCGGTTGATCTTTTATTCGACACCTATCTGTATTTCAGCGTCTTCAGCTAATCAGCTTACAAGTTACAAGTTTGACCTGTCACCTGAGTCACCGGACCTCTATCTCTATCAAAATTCAAAATACCATACCAGTCACAGTCTCACAGTCACAGACTAGGCTATCAGTAATAATTCAGTATAAAGCAATGATTATGCTGGATTTATGTTATTACAATCAAGCATCAAATTATCAATGATGCTCGACCAGCATTGGTGGCTGCTGCCTGCTGGGGTCAAGCCGTTAACTGTTAAGGTAGCACTCAGCCGGAGCCGTCCCGTAGCAGCCTTCTCAATTCTTATGATGTGGCAAATAAGAGAGTTTTTTAGACTCTCCCTCAAGTTCATTTTTTGAGTCCTATAAGTAGAGAAGTAAAGTATCATGGATACCAGCATTATCATACATAAGAAATTGGTTCAAATCTTGAGTAAATGAGGAAATTAAAAATGAACTGATTCTAAAAAATCTCTGGTTTGTCACTATGATTATCATACTTAAGAAATTGGTTTAAATCTTGAGTAAATGAGGAAATTAAAAATGAACTGATTCTAAAAAATCTCTGGTTTGCCACTATCACTATGCTTATGAAGTTATGAGATCTTTGATCTTATGGTACCTAAATCTTTGGGCATTGTTGAAAGCAATTTAGAGTATTGTTGGCACTTAATTGGACATTTTTGCAAATAAATGTTTCAGGGGTACTAACGAATTATTAATTTCAACTTCTAACAATAAACAATTCCTACCTAGGCTACTTATTATACTCATAGTGTGTTCCAAATCTCTAATATTTAAGTAGAATTTCCCAACCATGTGAACCAACATATTAATGATATTATTGGTCCTACCGTCCTAGGAGGCTAGGATTAGCAATATAGTTAATTTAATCTTTAAACTTTAATCAGTCAAACTAGTACCTACTACCTAGTATTTTTCCTTTAGTTTTTACTGAATTCATACTTATTTTTTCAGATACCTATCTGTATAGTTAGTTGTTTCTTTTTGAAGAATATATAATTTAAGTCATTTATTAAATGTATCATCATTTTTGCCATTGCATCCATTATCCAACATTTGGCTTTTCAGTTATTACTTAGCTTTGCTAAGTTAAGCAAAATGAATCTCTGTAGGAAAAACATTGTCATTTAGCCTTTAGGCCTAGCTTATTTGTTTGTATACTTTGAAACTGGATAAAAATCATAAAAATAGGAATATAGGATCAGTAAGTTATCTGTAAATTTTATTTTTTTTTTTTTATTAAATCTTATATAGCTCCATCATCGGACCATGACTCTATCATGGAATCTAAAAAAATACCTATCCTCATATTTTCCCAAATGGTAAATGGAGATTGATGCTTAGTTTAAGTTAGTTAGGTACCTTGTCCATGTCCAGTGAATGTCCACTAGTATTAAGATAATAAGATTGACCTAATCAACACTTCTCTAAGTTTAATAGTGCAATCAAATAGAAAACTATGAGTACTATAGATCATATTTGATATTGGAAGTAATTAGAAATTGTAAAATCATCATTCTCTGTTATTATTGTTATATACTTCAATACTTGGATCTGAAATCTGAACTCTTGATTCCTAATTAAAAACAAGTTTTTACATAATTATTAACAGGTTAATAAACCTATCATGTGATTTTTTAACAGTTATTTAGCCAAACAAATATTTAGAATAATTTTCCAAAATATAAACAAAAAGTTGAAATATCAAATCTTGACTAAGATAAAATAGATATAGTAAAATGGAACAATGAAATTCCTAAATGAAAGATTGTTTTCTATATTTTTTTCAAGAGAACTTTAATAGTTAAGAAGAGAACTTTAGAAGTTAACATACCTTACCTGCCTGCCAAGGAGACTGAAGGAGTTAATCTTTACATAGGCCGTTACTGTAACTGGCATGCTTTCGACCTATCCCAACAGGTTAAAATGTGTATAAGGCCTAATACCTAATAAGTGAAAAATATAATCAGATCACTTGTCATAGATTTTTCGGATTGCAAATTAACTCCTGATGTAGAAGCTATCAAATCAGTGATCTGTTCATCACTTGCCATATGTTTGCTGTACCAAACAAAAGCTAAATGGGTTTTTAATGGGTGTCCAAATCTACAAATCTTTGACAAGCAAATTTCTTTTTGGTTGTTAAAGCTCTCAGTACATGTTCTCCAATTTATTGATCAAAGACCTATTATATAGGTAATTATAATCTTTATTATTCACATGAGATATAACTGTGTATCTAAGCATAAAATATGATCAATTGAATTGCCTAAAATCACCTTGACATATATTCATTCATTATTAACACAAGTTTATCAATTTCTTTCTGTGGTTCTGATATTTTCAGATATTTTTGTGTGTGTAATACCTACTAGTGTCAGCTCTTCTGTACTAATAGAAAGGTGCACTATCAAATTATTTATCCTGTTACTCCGGCAGCAGATAGACCATTATCCAACCATCAGCTATGAGCCATGAGCTTCCTGGTGTAGGGGTGTTTGGTACTGGAGGGAATGTTGGTCTTCTAGTACAGAGCCTGCGAAGTCATGGCTTCACTGTTGCTGCAATCTGGAGCCCAACGCTTGATGCCGCTCTGGAGACTGAAGCAGCTCTTGATGTGCCTTTTGCCACAAATAAGGTATATAGTGGATAGATTATTATTCATCTTCTAAATGGTTAAATCTAAGTAAGGATTTCTTCCAGTTCTATTATTATTTCTTACAAATGTGAAAGTCCAAAGGCTTGACACCAATAATTGATCACTGAATTTAATAATCAAGCAAAAATGCAATCTCTAGGTAATGTGCTATTTATAGGTATATCATGTTTTTATCCATTCTAGCAAATCTTCTCCATAAGTTATATTAATGCAAGATTGCAAGCTGGTTTTATTCCCTATTACATTTTTATTGAAGAATTGATGATTATGGATTTACACTGATTGAACTTTTTACTCTCAGTTTATTGGCTCCTAATTATATTCATGTTCAAATGTGCTCCATTTACTACTAATATTATATAAAATCTCCATCTCATGGATAATGCTAAGTCAAGCTTAACTTAAAATTATTTAGAAAATTATTTCACATGGATGATCAATCTAAAGTCTTCAAAGAAGGTTTTTTTCAAGGTACTCCTTGCTTCACATTGAATAAATAAAATTCTTGCTTGGATTTGTCATACTATACTGTATAGTCATGAGAATTACTAGTTTTTTTGTAGACAAATTTTATGTAGTAGAATTAATATAGGTAATATTTGTTTGACAGGTTGATGAGGTTCTACTGCACCGTAATGTAGGTCTGGTGGCAGTGCTGTGCCAGCCTGATCTGCACTCGCAGATTGCAGTCAAGGCGCTGGGTATTGGCAAGCATGTGCTCTGCGATGTTCCTGTTGCTCTCAACCAGGTGAAGAATCATTCATTTATTCTTAATTTAGTTCTGAATTAATTGTTTCTTATGAATATTATTGTTTGAACATGTGTAGAATTCTGTTTTTTTTCATTATCTACTTACAATTTATTTTTTCAAATTTTATTTGAATTTTTCAATTATTGTCTCTTTTATTGTGTAGATTGATCATATTTCAACTATTCTTCTATCATAGTTTCAGTTTAGTTCTTCTATAGTTTTCTTGAGATTTTGATTGATACACATTTCCCACCTGACAAAGTGGTCAATCTCCAAGTTGTATGCAATCACATGATGTTCGGGCAAACCTTTTTCTAGTTTATGCTCCAGTTTTGGAGGTTAGTGGTTGTTTTTATCCTATTTTTATGTACTCTACAATTTTTTCATTGGCCCTCTATGGATGCACATTTCAAGTGTTTAGTATCAGTTACGCTAAACATTCTACAAAGTTTCAAAGTATTATTAAAAGAACTCTAGTCATTTTGTTCACCTTAAAGCAACCACAATCTTTCTTTACATTTCTCGGATTTGTGGATCAAGTTTAGTTTAGGTCAAATGGTCAACCTCCTAATCAATGCACTCTAAACCTGCCAGTATTAATGCAGTGTTGAATGCGTGTACAACAAAAATGCCAAGGTGGATCCTTTTCATTAAAAAATTTCTCTAGTTTTATACCCAGTTGATGGTATGGATTACCACTTTCGAAAAGTATTTATTATTGAGAAAATTATTTTTTTGCAGGGACAAGTAATGAAGATGGTACACGCAGCACTCTACTACCCATCTCTCATATCTGTGCTTGGCCATGGCTTGCGTTATGTTCCGGCATTCCAAGAGCTTAAAAGACAAATAAAGGCGGGCTATGTCGGTGAACTGGCTGTCTGTGACGTCAATATTCACTATAGCATCGCACACTCCAACATATCTAGCAGTTCCAACTACACTTCAACTAACGACAATTCCAACTATACCTCCAACTCAGAACAAGGATATGATTGGTGGTGCAGTAAGCTGATGGGTGGGGGTGTTTTGAGTTGTATTGGAAGCCACGTAGTGGATATTCTTGCTTTTATTACCGGGGAAACCGCCACACGTGCGCACGGTGTTACCCGCACGTGCACACGCACCACTCGCCACGTGCGCGGCATCCGAAGAATTGACAGCGATCATTTCTGTTGCTTCCAGCTCCAGCTCACAGGTGGTGCTGTGGTTAACGTCAGCCTCAACAGTCATGTCCCTGGACCGTATAACCAGCAGGTTCGATTGAAAATATCAACTCTGCCTTTATTTGTAAGCATATAAACTTCGTTATGTTAAGCATATAAACTTGTCAGTGTCGAAGTTATGTCACTTCGAAACTGATTTCCTGTAGGTTTATTTGAAACAGAGATACTAGTGCTGTTTATGTTTCTTAGCTTATGAATAAAGAGTTACGTCTCTTGGACCCTGAAGGCTAGGATCCTCATTAGTTTTGATAAGACGTCAGTGTCACTGATGCCGCCACAACAGTTAAGTCGCTGGCCTTCAATGACAATGATCATTTGTATTAATGAAAATAAACAACTTGCAAGCGAAAACGATACCGCTTCCTAGTCATTATGTAGTAATTGAAATGTAAATTGAAATCGGATATTTTGCAAATCACAATCGTACCGTACAGCTTTAATTAACTATCGGTCTTCTGATTATCGTCAATTGAATGGAAAAGATTGCCGCAGAGCAGCCTTCAGTTGTACAGATCACGACCGATTGATCTTTCTAAATCATTGGCAGTACACGTTTTCTTAACAACTTCCTAACTTATGTTTTTTTTCAATTCCATTTGCGTTGATACTCGTTGTTGAGCAAATTATGAGCAGTGTAAAGATAAATGCCTTGTTCAAGATAAATGATAAAATACGTTCAAGATAAATACAAGATACGTTCAATATAATATGCTTTATTTTTCCTGCAGTTAGTGGTGTGCGGCAGTAAGGGGCGGCTGACGGTGCGGGGGGCGGCGCTGTACGGGCAGCTGCAGGAAGACACGCACGAGAAGCTGCTTGTTGAGGCTCAGGGGGACGGCGCTCAGCAGGCTGGACTGCCTGGCTTAGTGCAGGTCATAAGGACTTGAATTAATATAGTATGATTATATTGTATCTTTATTGTATATTTGTATAATAGAACAACATTATATAGCGTATTATATCGAATAATAAATTATTGAATTTCTTATTGAAAGCATAAATGTCCGTCTATTTCTATCATTTTATCCGCCATGGATAACTCTGTCACTATATATAGTCATATGCACTGCCAGTATTTACCATACCACAAAAGCAGCAAAATTCATTTTGTATCGTGTACCTACGTACTGTGCGTTTTTCGAATCAAATTTTCACTGGTCATTTTTTAAAACATTCGCTAACGCTCCAAATCGACCAAAACCTAAACATCACTTTAGTGCGAGATTCATACCCGCACTAACCTTATTTCAAATAGTAAGAAAATCGTTACATATAAATAAATGTATACAAACTTCAAATAATTTAACAGTTCGTCGAAATTACGTCTTTGTGACGAGTTTTTGACGTCTAACCGAGACCTTCTGAACTCAAACTGTTCCTTCATGTATTGTTGTCTAGTGCGTTAATTTAGGGAAAAAATTGTACATACCCTTACATTGAGTAACTAAAATGTGTAGATGTGTTGAAACATGAATACATTTGTATGTTTGAGGTTGACATTCATGAGCAGGCGCTGAAGGAGGCGTTCAGTAGCGGGAGGGATGGCAGTGAACGCCCCGTGGTGGGCGCGGCGACATTCCTAGACGGGCAATACGTGCAGGCTGTGCTTGATGCCGTCCGACTCAGCACTGCCACGCGACAGTGGGAACAGGTTACGAACATTATAAGATTATATTAATAATATATAAGATTATAGTATGTAAGATTATACGTATTATTAAAAATTAATTTTCTCATCTGTTGGTTTTTGTGTATGCGTGGGCAGACTTTCGTAGAGAATTTTCTTTTACTAGCTGTGGTGGAACTAAGTCATCAGCTTAAAGAAAGAAATTGGGGAAGATTCACATTTGGATGGACTGATTTGAGTTCTTGTCGTAGAACAAGTTTATTCCAAGATGAATTTTCTGTTATAATATTTTGTGCGAACGAAAATTTGTATACCTCAGTTCAAGCCTTAACGTTACCAAACAGTATTACAGTAGTAGTTGAAGAAAATAATTCATTCATATTACAGTAGTAGTTGAAGAAAATAATTCATTATTTTCATTGAAATTCAACTATATTGCCTTGACATTGTAATTGACTTTACGTTTAATTCCAGGTTACGGTGATGCAAGAAGATTCAGATAGCGGCATGCGCCGCTGAGTTCAACTACAGCTGGCGATACTGACGATGCACGCCTCACTGAGCTGAAGCCCTGTCATGAAATATTCTGTGGACAGAAAAGTACAATTGGTTACAGGACCGGGCGTCGAACCTTTTTAGTTCGTCATGGTCACTTTAGTGACTTTACCCAGTGAATGAATCGCAAATCGTTTAGAAATATTCAAATTTGATCAAATATTCTATGAATAGCCGTCTTCTGAATTTTCCTGAATTTCTCGGCTTCTTTGTTCTTTGATCTAAATATTTCTTCGCGTTCTAATTTGGTTTGTATATATATATACTATGTTTACAATTATTTCCATCATTCCATTGCTTGAATGGCATATTGACGAAGTATTTAATTGGGTGCTATGATATTGATCAGGATCATTCTGTTGTTATTTATTTTTGAAAAATTCGGTGAATTTACTTCAAGAAGAATGCGACGCTGATTTGAATGTGCAATGCGCTTCGTTTTGAGGACAAATTTCCGATTTTTGTTGCTTTTGAGTCTGGTTTGAAATTACAAGGGCAATTCCTTGTCGTTTCCCGATTAATTTCCTTAGTTATTAGTTTCTTATTTCGGCGACATATTTTGTAAATACTGTACAGTATTAGCTTATTTATAATAATTGTATAAGAGTAATATAATGTGATAGTAATATTGAAAGTTTCTATCATACTGTTAATTTGTGTTGTGCTTTCGTTATTTTCTGTTTTCTTACTGTTCGAAATGTTATATAATTACGTACTGTTATTAGAATATTTTATGCGGAGCCTATAACTTGATACTTAACAATAAAAAATAATAGTTCATTAGTTTTTAATTTGCTTTATGCTAGCTATTTTCTTTGTTTGTATCTTATTGTGTTTGCAATCTCTGAACTCGTGTACCGAAATTCCGCATTCATAACCCTTCACGTTTGTAATTCCATGTTAGAAACATACCATGCAGCAAATCTTAACTCTTCACTTCTGCAATACAAAACTTTGTATAACTGAGCTCTTCATGGGCATTCTGGCTTTACTGAAGCGATTACAAGACAATTGTAAGTTTTCTCATTGTATAAACGGTTTCGATTTAATTTTTTATTGTTCTTGGAAGTATGCAAGTGTCCCAAATATACTTGATCTCATTCAGCTTTTTCCCTTATTTAATAATCCTGTATTTGTATAATGAACTTCATCTGAGAGGCCATTGCCCAGACGTGCTTATGTTAATTTTTGGATTTTGGAAAGAGAAATTAAGATGAGTATTTTCTGTTGATGTTTCTTTTGTTGAGGCAAGGGTCGAAAATCTAAACTATTGACGTGAGAAGAGCTTGTGTTGAAACGTTTCGACCGATGTTGGAAAGCAAGCTTATCAGGGCAGCAAGTCGGTAGTCTAGTCGTTCTCCCATTTTAGTTAATCGTACTTTACTTCATAATATGCAGGGGCTACCAATGTGATTAAACTTGCTCCTATACCCAGAGCTGGGCAGCGCTACTTTGAAATGTAGCGGCCGCTACATGCTCTAAATGTAGCGAGCGCTACCGCTACATTGCTTTGAATGTAGCGCCGCTACCGCTACTGAAGATGTAGCGACCGCTACATGTAGCTCGCTACTGCCCACCTCTGCCTATACCTTTTGTTTATGAACGAACTTTCTCGCGGGCGCTCTATTTCTACCGTTATGCGGTTCACTCAACCTGTTGACGTTGCCAGAGCCTCGGCTTGGTGGCTGGCAGCCTGGTGCACCCGTGAAGCGGCAGTGCCGTGCTGCAGTCCGAGTGTGCTGGTTGTCAAGTGCGCGTCTCTCCAATGAACTCGAACGTGGCGTAATTTCGCGTGTTTGCCTGAGGTTCTTGGTAGTCATTTATTCATTAAATTATGGAATTCATAAGTCAATGATGAGATAAGAGTGCAGTCAAATTCTATTGTTACTCGGTAGCGGTGTTTTTTGCTGGGTCCAACTTTTCATTTGAGCCCTCGCTTCAAAATAAAGGGATATTTACGCGTTAAAATTCACCGATGTAAACAAGTTTTACGCCCACTTGAATCATCTGAGCATGAATTCTTGGTATTTTTATATTGCAAGAATATTTCAAAAAATTTTAGAACAGTTTCTTAAATAAAATAGAAAAACTACTGCTGCAGCATTGAAAGTCATGAATATCGTGCATTTATTACCAAATAATCCACGTTCATGACAAACATGAGCACAATTTTTAGCCGAATTCTTTCAAATTTTGCATAGAATAAGGACATGCGATCACTTCCACACGTCAATGTAAAAGTCGTGTAGACATATTGAGAAGTGAAGCGCTTCCCATTTTATTTATACAGGACGTGTTCTCGCACAACTTTGTCTCGTCTCAAAGATACCTAAGACAAGACGATGTCGTAGAACATAGCCTCGTAGCATAGATACTTCAGATCAAACGTTCTATAATGACTGATTCAATGATGTCACTTGAGCTTCTTCCAATCAGCCGCCGAAGTCCTTTCGTTAAGTTTTTTTCAATAAAGTCAAAAGGCTGGCCTATAAGGTTGCTAATTCTCTGCGTAATCTAGGGTGGAAGCCGTCTGGTCCATATAACTTGTTGAGATTCAGAGGGACCAGGCGCTTTAGTAAACCTATTTAGAAAGTACTAAACTCACACACCTGAAATTATTACACCAACTGCGCAGGTATAAAATTAAAATGTTTCTAGAGTTTTGTCTATAATCAACTTTATTTGTGACAGTTTTCGGTTCATTATTCAATTCAGGAACGAATGAATCCTCATACCTTAGATGAATACAGCCACTGAGCAGGGGCAAAAATTCACATAGGCCTTATCTATCGAGTTTGGTTGACCCCCAACTCCATTTGTAAGTTATTTATTAAATACCAAACGTAAAAACTACAGAGGGCACGTACCTTAAAATTATTATAGCTATTTTGCAGTGTTAAGTAAACATATCTATCGAGTTTGTTGAGACCTCAACTTTATTTGTGACAGTTATTGGTTAATTAACTAATTCAGAAGCTACTAAACACACAGACCTGAAACTATTACAGTCACTACTAAGGTGTACAATTATTATAACAGCAACTGCCTACCATGCAAAAGTTTTTTTAATTATTTCAAGCGACATACCTAATGTTAATTGGGTTTGGACGCAAACAAAACCATAATTTTTTATTTTATCGATCAATAATTGTAAAATTTAATCAAAATTAATCTAATGTTTGTTTCCTTTATATATAAAAAATTTCCAGCAGCAAAAACGCCCATCATTGATCGCGATGTCCTCCGTCACATGTGCAGCCAATCCTGCGTTTGAGGCCGACGCGAGCAAAGGTCAGGTAATTCATAGTCATTTGGTCATAATAATTTGGTCATAGTAATTTGGTCATAATTATTCGTTCATAGTAATTTGGTCATAGTAATTTGGTCATAGTTATTTGGTCATAGTAATTTGGTTATAGTAATTCGTTCATAGTAATTTGGTCATAATTATTCGTTCATAGTAATTTGGTCATAGTTATTTGGTCATAGTAATTTGTTCATAGTAACTTGGTCATAGTAATTTGTCATAGTAATTTGGTCATAGAAATTTGGTCATAGTAATTTGGTCATAGTAATTTGGTCATAGTAATTTGGTCATAGTAATTTGGTCATAGTAATTCGTTCATAGTAATTTGGTCACATTAATTTGGTCATGGTAATTTGGTCATAGTAATTTGGTCATGGTTAATTGGTCATGGTTAATTGGTCATAGTAATTCGTTCATAGTAATGTGGTCATATTAATTTGGTCATAGTAATTTGGTCATAGTAATTTGGTCATAGTAATTTGGTCGTAGTAATTTGGTCATTGTAATTTGGTCATAGTAATTTGGTCATATTAATTTTGTCATAGTAATTTGGTCATTGTAAATTGGTTATTGTAATTTGGTCATAGTAATTTGGTCATAGTAATTTTGTCATAGTAATTTGGTCATAGTAATTTGGTCATAGTAATTTCGTCATAGTAATTTGGTCATAGTAATTTGGTCATAGTAATTTGGTCATAGTAATTTGGTGTTCATAGTAGTGTGTCACCATTGCTCGTGACTTCCGTGTTAGCTTGTTTCTAGAAGTATGGTGCTCCTCTAGGCTTCCATTTTCTCTAACTGACATTGTTTTCAAATTATTTTATTGTTATTTGAAAATATATAATTAATTCGGTCATTCTATAGTCTTTTTCTAATGCCTTTACCGAATATAAGGCTCACGATTTCCGTAATTTGATATTTTTATGTATTTCATCCATTAATTTTAATATGCGTATTTTTCGTTTGCAGTCATTTTACATTAACAACACTGATAATAAAAACATCTAAATATGTTTTCAATAGACGATTTGGATAGTCAACTAGATCGTGTATTTCTTTCTAGTTTCATACTTATAGATTTACTATGTTTATTTATTTTTCATTGCAAATTTTCTACTTTCGTTACGAATCTCATTCGTGCACAGACTGAAATGAATTTAACTATTTGAACGCTGTTGATACAAAATCAAAAAGAAAAATTTACACTGAATTAAATGGGCGCTCTATTAATGCATAAAGGCATCATATAACTCTTTTTTCTAGTTATCTACTGTTTAAGTAAGTAGAACGAAGGTAGAAAAAATCAGAGGCGTTTATAAAAACAATGTTGCGTTTCGATTTACCGGTAACTATTACGATGGCAGTAATCAAAATTTGCTGGACATGCATCTCCATGCAAGTTAGCAATTCAATTCGCAAACATCCTTCATTCATAATTAATTAACATTATAACGGTGCGAGCAAAAACCAATGAATTTATGCATCTAGACTTTTCTCTTTGATGAAATTAGACGTTCGTGTTACAATACGAAAACCAAAATTATTCACGAATTCTGTTAATTGAAATACAATAAATTACATGAATTATTTTAATTTTAATTTCCTCAATTAGTTAAAATACACAAGTTGAACTTTAACCTGATCAACAGATGAAAAAATCGTAACGTCGCACGCAGAGTTTACCCTCAGCCCGTCTAACGCTGACGCCGATGCTCAGGAGTCGCGGAGGATATTCAGAGATGTCTGCTGCGTGGCTGCAGGTTTTTTCCTGCTCTTTACAAGCTACCAGTCCATGGCGAACCTCCAGTCATCGATTAATAAGTAAGCTTAAATTCATTCCGTTCTTTCTTTTATAAAATATAGAAAATCTTCATTTGTCTCTATTAATTATATATTATTCTAATTATTTTGATCAATATACTATATGTATACATTAGACGACATGAATTTCCATTTATTTTCAAAAATTTTTGTTTTTACTCTTTCATTCTTTTAGTCATAGTTCCGTTTCATTCTATAACTATCAATTTTATGCATGTCGGCATATTCAGAAAATTGTACTAAACTCGGACTTCGTAAATACAATGTCGGAATGTAGCGGCAGTTAGAGTTTCATTGTTGCATGTACAATCTACATACTTCCGGAACCAAATCGCATCTCAAATATAAACTATTATAGGTGCTTTATTTACATTGACATTCAAGATTACGTTAACCATTGCGTTACTCAACATAAATTTGTGAATCATTGACCAATAGGCATAGTTCAATGTTTGTGTTTTGAATAAAGATGACTATAAATACTTGGCTTTGGTTATAGTGGATTCAACGTTGTGCATTAATTTAGTATAGTATTTTTGATCCAGAATCGAATTTAACTGATATTTTCTGTTAAGAATGCCCTAAAATATCATAATCGGTTGTACATGGAGCAGTTGCGAGGCAAAAACTGACCCACATCAAAATTTAACATAATTTTTCTTGCAAACAAAATCTTCAATTGGTACTTGGAAGATCAAATTTCATAAGTGATCCTTCGATCAAAGTCTACCTACCGATCAGCTAATCGAAAATGCAGAAATAGCGCTTCTTGCACGACAATGAGACAACTGATTTGTCGCGATATCATAAACTGACTACTATTATATAGTGCAAAATATCTAACATTTACACTCGATCCTACATTGAACAATAAATTATGCTTCAGTCAATCAAATGCTCCATACATCCTAAGTTCTCCCAACCGTCTCTCCTAGAAATTTACCTTCAACCTATCTACTTTATTAATACCATGTATGCTAAAATATTTTCCTAATTACAGCGTTATTTCTACAGGGAATACGGCACAATCGCTCAGTCTATTATCTACGCAACACTGTTGCTCTCATCGTTGTTTCTACCAACGTTGGTCATATCACAGTTAGGCGCGCGCAACACCATCGCCGTATCTATGCTAGGCTACTCGCTCTACACCGCCGCGCAGTTCTACCCTACAGCTTACACTCTGATACCTTCTGCCGCGATACTTGGCCTAGCTGCATCACCGCTCTGGTCTGCTAAATGTACTTACTTAAACCTGGTAAGTAATTTCTAAACGCGGTTTGGCAATCAACAACTTAACCTTAGCTACTTAAAATGTCTATAGTCAATGGTCAGTTGATTGGCACAGTCCTTCTGCAATGAAGATTTGAAGTAACTTTTTTCTCTTTGTGCTGCAAAATACACGAACGCATTCTGATATTTTCATTTTATTTATACAAAAACGCATTCTGAATTTTAATGTAATAATATCATAATTTAAAGTTTAATCGGTGTTTGCGATCTTTCTTCCAGGCTGCCCAGCGTTACGCCAAATTGACTGGACAAAACAGAGAAGTCGTGGTAACGAGGTTTTTCGGGATATTCTTCGCATTTTTCCAAAGCACCCAAGTGGTTGGAAACCTCATATCCTCCCTTGGTGAGCCGTAATCAAATTTTTTTTGCATTTTTTTTGAGTGTATATATTATGCGAAAAATGCATACATCAGTAATTACCTTTTTTTAAGCCAAGAACCACCAATGGTCTAACGGCAATTGAAATACAAGAAACTTTGAAACAATATGATTTAAGTCTGTCTGATTTGACTAATCTCCAATGGCATTTATGTAGCCATCAAATCAAATAGTGTGTATAAATTAGTGTATAGATTTTATGAAGCTTTCAATAAGAACTAAAATTCATCTATCTGAATTTCGTCCTTTTTAATCAAACTTCTCAAGAATAAATAAATCTACATTCACCGACTCCAACAGTATTAACACAAGATTCCGTTTGGGTAAACTCCACGGACCCTGCACTGCTGAGATGCGGAGCTACGTTCTGTCATGAAGAAAGTGCAAGCAATGCTTCGTTGATCAAAGATATTAGCGACACCCAGCGCTACACCATGTCTGGCATATACCTAGCCTTCGCCTTGGCTGCTTCGGCCTTCATCATGGCATTTGTCACGCCACTTAGTAGGTGAGACATACGAGCATATCAATAATATTTGGTACTTTTCTAGAACTTAAATTGTGTATCGGAAATATCTTTAATGTAATAACTTTAGTGTAGAGAATTAATAATGGACATCAAATAGGATAACAACGGTGCGTTATGATTTGCTATAGACGCGTAGAGAAATGGAAACTATTTGAAATGTCGAATTGAGCAGCAACAATCGATAATAAAAGAGATGACGATATGGGTTGTCAAAAGTTTACACGTTACGCACAAAATACGCAGTGATTCATGGGAATACAGTAGAAATATCTTTAACATACATTGTGCTTTCTGATTTTAAAAATAAGTCCTTAAAGATCTGATCTATTTATGAATTAAATTCACTTAAAATCAAATAAATTTTGAATTATGATGTTAAAACAAATGACTTGATCTGCAGGCACTGCGACGATGCAGTGGTGCGGTCATCCACAGGCCGCAGCCCCACGCAGCAACTCCTTGCAACGCTCAGGCACCTGCGCAACCCGCAGCAAATTCTCATCATTCCGTTCACGTTTTGGTCCGGCCTTATGCAAGCTTTCTTATCCGCCGAATTTACGGCTGTAAGAATTATCAAACATTTTATTTTGATATTTCGTAACTTTTAAGTTTGGTTAATTCGTAAAATTTGCATTCGATGTTTCTTATGCTTTTCCTATAAATAGCACATGCTGTCATGTCGGTGATTTTACTCCATGGATGTTGAACAGAGTTATCGCGTGAGACTGTTTATTAATATTCAGATAATGAAAGGGGTTGGTGTTTATCAATTTTCCCCATTTTTAACCATACCAATAGAAGTATTATTATATTTTTACCACTACACATTATTATGAAGCGACTGCCGGAATAATTAAATTTTAGAAGTAAAATCCGTAGATTTGTTGACGCCTAAATTTTGTTGTAATTTAAAATTTTCTACTTTATTTCTTAGATTTCATTACTCCTAGAGAGCCCAGTTGCTAGTAACGGGTAAAGTAGTAGATTTTCATAACCAAACAAATTAAACTATGACTATATGATTCCATAACTATATATACCATTTTATACCTATACACTTACATAAAATAAATAATATATAACAATACCAGATTCTTTATATGTACTGAATGCATGGCAGGCGTACGTGTCATGCGGTCTTGGAGTGTACATGGTGGGCTACACGATGATCTGCTTCGGTGTGTTCGACGCGTTGTTCTCGTACTGCTGTAGCCCTATGGTCAAGAGAGTGGGGCGAGTTCCCATCTTTTGCTTCGCTTCGCTGCTACACTCTTGTCTCATTGCCGTGCTGTTCCTATGGGTGCCAAACCCTGAGCAAATGTACGTCTTTTTCGTCATCCCGGCCTTGTGGGGGATTTGTGATGCAGTGTGGCAGACGCAGATGAACGGTGAGTTCTTGGTTTACTTCATTGTTAAGTGTAAGTAATTTTAAATACTGTGAACTGTAACTATGAAAATTTATCAAGCTAACTGTCTTTATTTACTTTGGGTAACATCTGGCAGTTCCGCAGTAACTGAATGTCGTCTTAAATTTGTTCAAATGCTCATGGACATTTTTAATAACAAATATCTTAAGAGAATGAAAACAAAATTTATAGTAACAAATATTATATTTTGGCTGTTGTTACGACTGCCTTTGATTCAAATACTCTATAAGTTGACAGGTATTAATTGATTATAATTTTCAATATTTTAATAAACTTTTCTATTTTTTTATTGGCGAATCAGCGGGTCAAAGAGGCATCGATTGAATATGTAAATTTGAATTCAAATATAATACTAAATTTCAAGTGCAAACTTGTAATTGCGATCATCAGTAAAGCAATTACGCAAGCAGCCAATATTCGGAGCGATTTTCCGTTGAATTTTCATTAGCATTATTATTATCACATTATTATACATCAATTATTATCATATTATTATTAAACTTGAAAGTAATAGAGATTCGTCGGATTTTAATTCATTGAAAAAAAAACAAGTAGAATTTGTTGATTTAGAGTTTAGACCTCCGACGTAATATTCAATTTCACCTTTACTGGTCTTCCAATTTATCTACGTATTTTTAGCGCATTTTCTCATTTATGGAAAAAATGCACTATTGTGCTCGCCATGTCCGTCCATCTGTCAATCCGTCTGTCTGTCCGTCCGTCCGTCCGTGACCTCAAGTTTTCGTCGCCGAGTAAATGCGCTCTCTGTCACTCACTGCAGTGAGTACTGAGTTATATTTTTTTCTTATTATTCTCCACAAGATTTTAACTTTAAGAACAAGTCTTGTATCTCAGCTCTGTACGGCGTCATCTTCCCAGAGGACTCAGAAGCAGCGTTCAGCAACTACAAGCTCTGGGAGTCGTCAGGCTTCATAGCTGCCTACATCTGCAGCAACTTGATATGTGTTACTGCCAAGCTTTACATACTGGCCGGCAGCCTTGCTCTTGGTTTCATAGGTTACGTTTTCATTGAAATATTTGAATATAGAAAGAATAAACTTTCTTAACGATGTCAGTTCAATTTAATTTTAAAGTTACTGTAATATCAGGTGTCTATATATATATATTCATGTGTAGTGGCAAGTTAAAACATAAAGATTTACTGCATTATTGTGAATTTTTCAACAAATAGTTTACCAGGTTTTCAACTGAAACGATCATGTTGGATTGAAGCTGATATATAACTCTATTGATGTAAAAAAATTTAGATCGCTGTTATAATTTTAGATTTTTCTTGGAGGAAAAATATAATACGGTTGAACTTTGCATGTTTTTTTACAAAATTTAATTCAAGTGCAAAAAACTGTCAAGTCATTACATATGAAATAGTTTTTCGACTATTTTACACAAGAGCAGAAATCAAATAAAAATCAGAAGAGTTTAATTACTGAGGTTTTTCGGCCTTTTAAGCCTTTGGCGCTGAGGTACAATTAGGTGCAATTAAAATTATTATAGTTTGTTAAATATAAGGCTATAAGTATTAATCTGTAGTATTAGCTTTCATTTGTAAACATCGTAAACATTCGAAATGCAAGACTTTGGTATTGTTTCATTTTAGTATTTAATTTTATTTTTGCTTGTTACTTAGATTACATGCTACGCATCCCTGTTCATGTGATCAAACGTTTGTGTGCTTTTAAAATTTCGATGAAAAACGTCTACATCAAACTTGCTTAATACATTATTCTACTCACAATTTATTACTCTAGTAGCAAATTACCATACTATTACTAATTACTTTTACCGTAGCAAAAAATATATATCGCTTACAAGAACCAGCAGAGCCGATCAAAATTACCAGCAGTGGCAAATCTGAGCCGATCAGAGCCTAGTGCCACTGTGATAAATCACTTAAAGAATAAGGTTAACAAATCAAGAAAAACGGCTTTAATAATTTAAAATACTAGTCCTTTTTTCGGAATATATTTATTCAATATGTACTGTAGGCATTTTTGACTTTCTACATCAAAGCTGGTCAAGCTTCATCTTTGGTGTCGAAATGCGTGTAGGGCATACATACATATACAACCAGCAACATCACAAGTAACCAATGCTTAACAATTTACTCTCAATATACCTCTTATATCTATGAAACAGATTTCTACACAAATATAATGTAGATGATCATTCCAAATATTCTAATCGTTAATAGTAAACCTACCGTTTATCGAGTTTCTTGTGGGTGACCAGCAAGAATGGCACGGAATATCTTTACTTATTATCTTACTAGAATATTTTGAATGACTCATTAAAAAGATAAAAATACACAATTTTTCAATATCACCAGTCGGCTGTAAATTCCTTCACTGATCTTGCCAATCATAATGCTGAAATTGTGCTTCCAAACCTACTTTGTTGAGCTTACAACGGTGCGAGTGGGTTATGAAAATCTGGTGGTTCGTAGGTCCATATCCCATCAGCGGCAACACTCTGTTACAGGGAGAATGTTACCTTCCGGATCTCGTGGCAGAATTTTGAACTTTTCCAAGAATTCGATGATGAAATATCCGGTCATTCCGGCAGATAAGAAACCTATGACGATGTAGAGCTTCGTGTCGATACAGATTGTTGAATTGGTCACGAACGTTATGATGAACCCAATGGACTCCCACATACGGTAGTTGCTGAATGCCGCCTCAGCCTCACCGGGAAAGATTATGCCGTAGAACGCTGGAATCAAAGATTACTATCAACGATACACATTGGTTGAATTTAAATGATACATGCTTCATCACTCTCTTCAGTGATTAGTACTTTCAAAACAACCTTAACTGTATTTTGTATTATCCAACCTGTATCAGTAACGTATTTGTCAACCTACAACATTTCTCACCATTGATCTGGGTTTGCCAGACGGCATCAGCGATACCCCACACGGCGGCGGCGATGAAGAACACAGGCATGTCGTCAGAGTTGGGCTCCCACAAGAAGAACAATATGATGATGGCCGCGTTCGCCACAGCTCCCAGAATGAAAACTGGAATCCTGCCTACGATTTTCACGATGGGACTGAAGCAGACTGAACAAACTGCGTCGCAAATGCCGTAGCAAATCATCACGTACCCAACCATGTGGACGCCGAGTCCGCAAGATATGAACGCCTGTAGCGATAAAATTTGGAAATGCATGATTTAAATTAAGTTATTCCATTTAAATTTTGTCACTAGAACTAATTCTAATGATTTATAATTGAAAATAATCTCATAGTTTGAGCGCGTGAAGTTGCGGAAAATAAAAGATGTTCATGAATCATTAGCAATGTTAATTGGTATTAGGTTGCTGGAAGCTCCTATTAATTACTAGTGTGCTTAATAGTGTGTTGAAATTGGTGAAGTTACACATAAAATCTGGTGACCTTTAATCGCTCTTATCGATCAGTCTACAATATTGCATCTCGCTCTTAAAATTTTTTTCACAAAATTGGCATTTAACAGAGACATAATATTTCAATTCGAGCTGGATCACGAATCTATAAATATATTTTCGGCAAAATTGGGCTCTAATACATATAAATATCTCGACTGACGCTGGTGAAGTCTCCCTGGATGAAGGCCTGTTCCACCCCGGACCAGACGGTGAGCGGGATGATGAGGAGCTGGTAGGGGTGCATGAGGTGGCGGAAGGTTGCACCGAGCAGCCTCACCCCATCCTTCATGGTGGCGGCCTCCTTCTTGCTCTCATAATCTCCAAACCTGCGCGAGGAGTGCGATAATTGCGGCAATCATAATAATAAAAATAAATAATAATAATAATAATAACAATAATAATAATAATAATATTAATAATAATAATAATAACAATCATAATAATAATAATAATAATCACAAAATTAAGACAGGTTTGTGATGATAACGTTAATTATCGCAAAAGCTACTATGATCGTAAGTTGTTATATTATTTATCATAAATACACGTCCGCAATTACAGGTTATGCTAAAAATCTGGTTTATTGTTGAAGAATTTTTTAAGATGAGGCCTTGACGGTGCTTGAATATTCAAGATAAGGAATTACTTATTTAGTGACTAATCTAATTACTAATTACTCCAATATTTATCAATTAACGATCCTTGATTTTCGAGAATAAATTATTTTTGGCATACATGACAAACCCACTTTAATTGACTCAATCTACCAATTTCCACAAGAAAGCTATCGTTAATTGCCAGAGGCACGATGAATAAATAAATTAATTTCTAGTTAGCCCCTATAGATTTGATTCGAAAATCAGAGTACGCTTTAAGGTGTTGATTCCGCGTCTCCATTACTGTTGGTAAGAATAACCGGAGTAAAACTATACTGCACTGCTTTTCAAATACATGGAGAGGAATAATTGTGAATGAGATCAAATATTCACAGATAGTTCAATCTCTAATCTAAAATAATAATATAAATATTCAATTTGCTTGAAAATGAAATCTCAATGAACAGACAACGAGAAGTAGCATTATGTGGAATCACAATAAATAATTTCCTGTGTTTGGTAGTTCAAAATAATTCATTACCTCGACAATGGGTCAACGAAAAGCACCACGATAACTGAAGATAAGAGAGCGCATGCGAGGTAAATCCCTGATAACGTATAGCGTTTAGCGTCCGTGACTTCGTTGACGGTTGAATTTGACGTGTGGTTGTCCATGGCGCAGTAATGGATTCCACACATCGTCGCGTCCTCGGGATCAACCAGTTCCGAGTCCACCGAGAGCACTGAAAAAATTATAGTTGATAATAAATAACTGTTAGAAAAGTTTGGGAACGTATATTTGATTAGTAAAAATGTTCGAAGAAATTATTAAAAACGTGGGGCATCAGTTTGTCACAATTATCAAACGGAATAGCAACAGAAATTCATGGCTTAATTCATTTGATCGCCTATCATGCACTAATTTACTGCATATTTTGCTATTTATATTTTGAATTTGTCACAGTTTCATTCGCAAAAAAAAACATGCTCATTCGCATCGTTAGTTATCAGCCATAAATTCATAAGTTCTGGAATGATATTTCGTAAGCTCTTTTACTCTTAATTCCTAGGTTCTGAAGTACTTCTTCGTACGTTCTGAACACATTTCTCACCAGCAGAGGAGATGAGATTACCCCACACTTGCGAGGACTGGAAAAACAGGAAAAATATCCCGAACATTCTTGTCACGATCACCTCTGTGTCTTGGTTCGTAATTCCGGCGTAGATGCGACCCACCTGTAGCATTACGAGTTGTTTAAAATGAGACAATATTCATTGAAAAACCATCGCAGGAAATATTTTTAGAAGTATCCATATCATCACAGATGTAAATGAAGAGTTGTGGATCAAAAAACACATATAATTTCAAAGAATGGAACCGAAATATTTAATAGCAGCAATGGAAACAAACTCTTTAATGATTATTTCACACGTGACACGGTCGGAGATTTGTTTTAGCGGATCACTTCGAAACCACGAATGTAAATTTTTTGGCGGATGCGTACACATTGCGACAGCTGCATATATTCTATAAAGATTTCACATCAAAAATTTACATGATCAAGAATCTAACCTTTTTAATGAACTACCAAGCATAGATTCAGACTCACCTCGGTCAGGTAGGTGCACTTGGCGGACCACATGGGGGCGGCCCCCAGCCCAAGCAAGATGGCCCCAGGAATCATGGTGTAATATTCCGGGTAGAACTGAGCCACCATGTATGCTGAGTATCCCAACATACACACGGCGATGGTGAGCTTAACTTTGAGTTTACTGATGAGCAGCGGCGGCACAAACATGCACGACAGCACCAGGGCTCCGTACAGCACCGCGAGGGAGGTCGTGCCGAGCTCTCTGTGGGGTCGGGGTGTGTGAAATGCGTGACTAGACGAATCTGCACGTGACTAGACGAATCTGCACGTGACTAGACAAATCCGCGTGTGACTAGACGAGTACGCACGTGACTAGACGAATCCGCGTGTGACTAGACGAGTCCGAACGTGACTAGACATATCCGCGTGTGACTAGACGAATCTGCACGTGACTAGACGAATCCGCGTGTGACTAGACGAATCTGCACGTGACTAGACGAATCTGCACGTGACTAGACGAATTTACACGAGACGTACGGATGCAGGTACGTGTAACTAAATTATCATTTTGAAGCGCATGTTAACTAGCGTGTGGATACATGTGACTAGATGATTTTTTAGAGCGCCTGTCGAGTGCCATGCAGATACGTGCGACAAAACGATTATTTTGGAGCGCGTTTCACTTTATGTGCAAATGCACACGATGACCTCAACTTATGCATGAACATCAACGGGACTTGTTGAAATATTCAAATCAAAAAGTTTATTCGTCGTACAATTATTATGCAATTGATTATGCAATATACTCGTCGCGTGATTGCATAATAAAGAAATTTATTTTTTTCTCAGACTGCTATAAAAAGAAGAAACATTAAATAAAAAAAATGTTTACTATGAAATCCCCCACTTGTCTTGCGCATGCCGACTTAGCCGTTTATAGAAGACTGAAGCTTACCCATGGCATTATAGGCATTGACTCACTCGTTTATAGAAGACTGAAGCTTACCCATGGCATTATAGGCATTGACTCACTCGTTTATAGAAGACTGGAGATTAGCCATGGCATTATAGGCATTGACTCACTCGTTTATAGAAGACTGGAGATTAGCCATGGCATTATAGGCTGTGAAGAGGAACGTGAATGCGATGGAAATAACGATGATGTTTTTCATGATCCCGAACTTCATCGCCTTCGTTTGCGTCGGGTCCATTTTCTCAAGATTTGATTTCATTGACTTCTCTGAGATCGAATCTGAATGATAAAAAATGTGTTTTGTTCAAAGCACATCGGTGCTGATAATTGTTAGAGATATCAACGTTGTGCTCGTTGAATCAATTACCCGAGATGACGATAAAAATTGAATTAAAATTATTAAACTTTTAACGGTAAAATCATTGATTATTTTCAATGAACTATATCATATTACAGACGAGATCAAAAAACAAAATTAATAAAATGTGCGATGTAATATATTTTCATTAGTGACTGATATATATTGCACTAAATACGCCAAAAATACCTTTTTTGTCTTGCGAATAGGCGGGATTGTCGATACCTTTACTGGCTACGCTGGAACGCCCGCTTGAAGGGAGCTGGGTGTCCACTACGACGGATTTGTACGGCGGCGCTGGAAAAAAATACATTTAATTTCGCATAGTTGGAGACAACATAAACAGTTGAACTGGACGTTAATATATTGAATTTTGTGATAAAACTGTGATGCGACGTACGATTAAAATACAGTCGGTTTATTTCTAATAGCTGATGACAAAACATGTAGTTATATTAATATATATCGTTGATATGATGAGTTTTGTGACTATAAAAATACAGAACGACAATCGAAAAAAGATGCATCCAATTTTATTGGTGACATCATGAATGATTTCATCAAACATGAACATGATATTTTTCGGGATTAATAATGCAGAGCGACGCTTGAATGAAAATACTTGTGATTTATTCAGTAAATTTAGAGACAATGTAAGAAATTCCATTAAAATTTGTCTCTGATTGGTTCGTGATTTAAACATTAGGACAAAAATTGAGAACAGTCCAGATGGTCGGGTTGACGATAGGTTTTGTTATTTATTATTATATGTATTGTGATTGTTCCTTTATAATGCTCTTATGAAGAATCATTAATCTTGAGGTCAATTATATCGATATCAAATTATTAGAATTTCTATTATTGACGTAAAGAGGGGGGATTATTACGTACTATTTCTGTGAAAAACCACGGATGCTAATGTTTGTTATTGAAGGTGATTAAGCTTGTTATCGTCGATAATAATGCGCGTTATCTACGATAATTACATAGATAAATATAATTATGATCGTTATCGACGATAAAGATTATTATGCTTGTTATTGTCAATAATGTTGTTCATTACCAACGATCGATGATCGTGCTTTTCTCAACGAGAAAATCTATGGGAAGCTTTAGAAGTTTTTCTGCAATGATTTTAAGATTACTGTATATGATGCTCATAGTGTTGATGATAAAAGCTATTAATGATTAAATTATATCTCTTTCGAATTGCTTATTCTATAATCAAATTCAATATGACAACATGTTATTGCAAATATTCAACTATTAAATGTAACTACAATGTACTACTGGTTATGAGTTGCATTTAAAATGCATGAAAACTGAATTGAAGAAATAAGTAGTGACCGAGCTCTGAGCAAGTCAATTTACTGAGGGACCGTGACAAAATATTGTCTAAATTGCTGAGGGACCGAGACAAAATATTGTCTCAATTTACTAAGGTACCGAGACAAAATATTGTCTCAATTTACTGAGGGATCGAGACAAAATATTGTCTAAATTTACTCAGGGACCGAGACATAATATTGTCTCAATTTACTGAGGGATCGAGACAAAATATTGTCTCAATTTACTGAAGGATCGAGACAAAATATGGTCTCGATTTACTGAGGGACCAAGATATTTAATGGGGGACCGAGACAAAATGATTTATTTGATTAGTTAAAAGAATGTCATGGAAGACAGAGATTAGATAAAGCGTCACTCACTTCGGAATACGCGGAACTTTCTTTATTATACGAATTTTCTGATTCACCTGCTAGATATGTTTTTTATATTGTTATTGTTTTACTATTCATGACGAACGTTTTCTTTTGTTAACTAATTTATAAAAGAAATTAACTGGCTTGATAACGGACATATTGAAGTCATTAAGTCAACTGCTTGAGCAGAGAATTGTGGTAAGTGCATTATAACAAGAATTATAAATACATAAATGTACTTTTGATCGTTATTCCCAATTCGCATAAAGCTGAGAATTACACACATACCAAGGACTACTACACACAGGACATGCATAGCCTATGTCCAGCCTCTGCTAGCAGAGGCGATCGCCTACACTTTTGAACTTCAAAACTGGCAAAAAGTCTATGGTTCTGACCAAGGACTACTACACACATTGTAATACTATTGTATGAAACAATTATGGGCATATCATTTGTTGATGCCACTAAAACACCAGCATTTTCATAGTGTAGGCGATCGCCTCTGCTAGCAGAGGCTGGACATAGGCTATGCATGTCCTGTGTGTAGTAGTCCTTGACACATACACATTAAAAGCTGCGTGTGACGCTCCATTCAACTTATCGTAAAGCTAGCAGGGCTGCTAGTGATTTCAAATAGAATTTTCAATTTTTGAATAATTTAAGTTCTGTCTCTGCAGCGGGAAAATAAATAAGCTTTTGTCGTAGCTCACCCTGGTTTCTGACCGCAAGCCCACAGTGCAATTGAGGATGACAAATAATTTGCAATATTTGAATGGAAACAAAATAAATTCACTGACTTGAGAGATTAAGTAACCTGACAAGAAGTTGAGGATAAATTCGTGAAATTAAACCGAAATGAAAGTCTAACAGAGATATGTTTTGACACTACTGGTGACGTTCAGAAGCTTCAATTTAGTCTAACAGGCTGGTATGCATCTACAGATATGGCAGATATAATAAGCTTTAACTGTCAGCTAAGGAAGATAGTTCAGATTGGAACCCTGCTACTGATTACTTAAGTCGTTCTTCCGAAGAAATAATGTCTGCACTTCTTATCTTCCGTCAATTTCGGAGAAGTTCGGCGGCTACATCAAAACACAGTTCGTTACAAGCTGAACCCGCACGTAGCTAAACTATACATCTATAACTATTCACAATAAAGATTTATCAGTTTACTGAACCATCAGGAATGACGAAATTATGTTTTTTTTTGTTGCTTTAATCTCGGCCGAAAACAATGTTTTTGATGGATGGTCAATAAGATTTTCAAACCAGCGTATAAATGACGAGCTGACTTAGCGCGTGACAATACAGAATGACCGGACAGAATAACGATACAGAATTGCGAATGGCAGTCAGAATGTAATTTATATCTTTGAAAAGTACGATGTTATTTTTCGTAATTATATTATAGTATTTTGTGGAAAATTTGCTGAGTAACGCGGTTTAATCCACCAGACAGGAACGATGTAACCGACATTCTAGAAAAAATTCCTAGTGGTCACAAGTTCTTGAGTGGCGACCCTAAAATCTGAGCCAAAGATTTTTTGAAGTTTTCGATCAATCAATCAATTTTTTTTGCTAGAGGTTCTGATTATAACAATTACTCATCGTTGATTGAATTAACATTGACTTAATACCTTATCGTTAACATTTGCGGCTCCAAGTGCCCTGTAAAGCAAAGACTGTGCGATTTTAAATTTTTTTTAAAGATTTAAAGCAAAAAAAATCATATTCGCTTATGAATCAAACAACTGCACGCGTTTTGTGAAGATTGTGAGTGCTACGTTTATAATTTGGTCGATGACTGCTGAGGTGTTGGAAAATTTTTGGGGGTCAGTTTTGTTAGATACAATTAACCAACACATTATAATTCACGTTTACTTTCTCAAATTTTATTGTTGTATTTTCGATACGAGTGTACAATTGTTTAAAAATCATATAATACGGGTAAATTAGTTTAAACATAATCCATATCGCGGAAATTTGTTATCATATTTGATTCATGGAATATCTCTGCAGTATTTTTTTGAGGAAATTCTAGCCTTTTAATAATTTTCATGTTATTGTATATTTTTGCATAGTTCTGCATGATAATGATGTGATTTATCGAGATATTCTGGCATAAATTTACGCACTCTAATCGCGCTATTCGTGCGTCGTACAAGTTTACAACACTTGCAAGGGGCAAATAAAGAAGATTACACGCAATCTTCTGTTCTGTAATCACAAGAATATATCAGAGCAGCATGAAGATTACCATGGAGATTGTTGACATTCACTAATTTTATCATAGAATCAGATTGAATCATAGCTTTATTGAACAATATGATGCTCTGACTCACGAAGGTCGTCGTTATAGAGTTTGAATTTGCCTGCTTTTCCATCTTGTACGTTGTCGTTGGCAAGCTCCACAATTGATTTCCTGGCAGAAAAGGTTTATTAATTTTCAGTAGACAATTACTTAGACTCGTCGAAGCTGAGAGTGCTACGAATTTATGTTGCAATTATACAGTTTAAGAATCAGACTAAGAATAAGACTAAGCCTTTCCCAGGAGGCTTCCTATACACATAGTAACATAATTATATCAGGGGGTATTAATAAAGCCAGAAAATTTAGTTATCACAATTTTTAATATATGAAACAAAAATACTATACAATGCAACAAGTAAATCATTGAGAGTTAATGCATCACCAAGCGGAAGAAATCAATCGTCATATGATAAGCATGAACTGCTTTATAAATACTAATAATATCATTAACCATGTGTAACCATTCTAAATTTATAACAATTATTATTAGAAGTTAATTCAATTATTTATTCAAAAACACAGAAATTAAAACGGTCTGACGACTTGATTGTTCTGAACCATTCTTACCGTTTTCTATCCATTTTATACTCGATTTCGCAGTAATTAAATTACAACATTCACCACTTCACTAAAATTACAATATTCTGCCGTATTTTCAAGAACCAAGAACTGCCACGCACGACGAGCAACTAAAAACTGTGTTGTTCTCATAACCAAATTAATCCTAAGAAAAAAGTTTTATCTTATCGCATTCTTATCAGTAGAGGATACATTTTGAAAATGCATAACGGATCTCTATATATTGCACATTGTAATGTTAGTAGATGATATGCCCGTTTGATTGATCATATGTCTGAGATAAGAAAGTGTCAGTTTGTAAGTCGTGTTTTCTGCTACGCCGCGGTAATCCTTATCAGGGTGCGAATGCGGAAGTCGCACACGGCCAAGTTCGTTCAAGTAATAATATTATATAATGTTAAATTAGTTAATATTAATTAATATAATATTTTAAAAATTTACAAAAATTCGGGACCATCGAAATTTTTTCCCGCTGAAGCGCCAAAACAATTCTATTAGAAATAAAATTGGAAATTCTATTGAAATTCAATTAGAAACAATTCTATTTGTATAACCTGAAATATTAAACCATCAGTGTCAAAAAATATTCGCAGCAGCAGCAGGAAGCGTCAAACAATAACCATATGCTCTAAGATTCTCAGTGCACACTAGTTCACTCACTTTATGTTTGTGTGAATAGTGTTGTAATGTCTTTATTAATATTTACAATCCGTAGTCGTGGTAAATTGGTTACTATGGACAATTTCGAATAAAATAAATTGCTCAAATAAACTATACATTTTTTTTATCAAGCTCTGGGTAAGAGTCACTATTTGCGCAACATGGCCCATTCCTTTTTCTTAGTGTTTTCTTTGTTATGTTTTTATGTCTAGAGTATCAACCTTTTCACTGATTTCTTTCCAATTTTAAATTTTACACGTTCATAGTAGCTCTTAATAAACTGCTGAGACACGTCAATATCTTACGTTCATATATTTTATTATTTATCTATTTATATTTGCTTCTTATGCTTCACCTATTATGCTGATTATCAAAATAAATCGTTGGCGATCGTGCTGTCTTGATTACCCGTGACGTTGGCTGCGGTCATCAAGGGCTGTAAGACCTTAATATATATTTGAATATTACTTTTACGATCATACTAAGATAATTTCACATCTTAAATCACAAATTATTTCATTTGATTGCAACGCCGATCGAGCGGTGCAACGTCCCGGATCCGATTGCAATTATTGAGTTTTAGCTTCCACTGCGGTGTTTCTAACCTGTGAATTTTTTAATCCCTGTATGTATATTAACAAAAGCCAGTTTAAATGCAGTTTTCAGCTACTATTCTCTTGAAATTTTACATTTGTAAATATAGATTTTACTATCTATGGCATGAGTAGTAGTTTACTGATTGATTGATTGATTTCCTTGTATTTTAATGCCATTGCTGTATTTAATGCTATTGTATTTAATGCCTTTATTTAATGCCATTGTTTTTCAATGCCATTACTTCTATATGAATTAGTTTCTAAATGTCAGGTTTCTGACACAATTGGAACTTTATGGTTGCGCATAAATTCAGTTTTGTCAAGTAAAAATTCGTCTTAACTGTTTTATTTTTACAATACCAAGTTCATTACTTCTATCATTAAATAAATACTTGACTATTCAATACGTACTTATTTTTTGATAAGGTTAAAAAAAGTCATTAATGACTCAAGAAATTTAATTAATTTTTTTACAAGTTCGATAATTACATCTACATAGTTACACTGTTAACACGAACAGTAAAAAAGTATAGTATTTAAAGCGTATATAAAAGTATACACTTTTTGAAAGTCACTAAATAATTTTACGAAATATGTGAACTATACAAGAATTTTCAAAATTCGAAAATTGGGAGACGAAATTTTGACATTAGTACAATATCTCCTAATATATTTCTCTATAATATTAATGAGTACAAAAGGCCCTCATTTGTTTTATATGAAATTAATTACTACGATAGTTCCTCATTTATTTTTCCATGATATTAATGAGCGCGATAGCTATTCCCTCATTAATTTTTGTTATTGAAAGATTTATTATCGTGATAGACCCTCATTAACTTTATGACAATATTAATTAATGAAAACGATAGATCTGCATTTAGTTTTCTCAACATGCGTAACTGAATTAGTTCGATCCTCTCCAAAGCGACTAACTGTCACGTTACTGGAACTTGCATTAAATCCTCCTGTTAAAACATTAAACATATAACTTAAAAATATATTATAGCTGAAGACGAGGTCTAAATCCTACATTAAGAAATTTAATAAAATCTTAACAAATATTTAACGAATTCCTAGGCATTTATAAAACCAAAATAGACTCTACATTATATATTTAGGAAATGTTTGATCAGTTGCTGACGTATATTTTCAAGTCACATTTTTCTATAACACAGTAAACACAGTGACTGACGTCTATGAAAGTCAAGTGTTGCCATTCTTTAAAAAAATAGGTGTTTCGGTACAGTAACTACAAACTCATGAAACGTACCATTATAAAATACAACTAAGCGTAAATTTAATCTAATAAAATTTACTTGACGAACATTTTTTGCATTTAATGACGCATGGGAAGCCACTCTGCTGATGCTGCACTTACCTCGAGGCTTGCCAATACAAACCGCAATTTAAATTTGTTAGAACTGCAATTTGTAGGATTCGAAAACCACATAATAACAATGAGACTTTTTCAATCCCGCTTGTAAGTTGTGGTTCAGTTTAGTTTATAAAATAAATCGTTTCTACCGAAAACAGGAAACATGAGTGTTGAGTTGAGCGAATAAAGTGGCACTGACGGTTGTCACGGAAACATGAGTTACAGTTAAAATTTCTGCAATGAATATCCAGTTTTAAAAATGATGTTCAGAACTATCACGAACAAATTTTGTCAATAGGTTTTGCGATACCTCGTTCATTTTTTGGTAGCCAATTCATTCGATCAATTAATTCGACAATATAGTAACCAATCATTCCTATAACCAGAAAACCTACTACAATAAATAGTTTATCTGTGTTACACAGCGAACTGTGTGTAGCATAGTTGATGATGTAACCAATAGATTCCCAAAGTCGGTAGTTGCTGAACGCTGCTTCAGACTCCCCTGGAAATATCACTCCGTATAGAGCTGTAATGGAAGAAAACGTTCATGAGTTGTCTTTCTAACGGTAACTGCAATAAAAATATAGTGCATCACCTTGTTGCTTAGCATTTATTCAAGGTTCGTTTGAAGAGTAACTATGCCACGTAATAAATTAGATATACAATTATACATAAGTTGGCTTCAAATTCTCAAAAATTATGAAGGGAGTATTTTTCGTATATCTTACTTATACTATAAACTCTATAACTTTGTATATTGCATCAAACCTGCAAAATTGAAATTAGAAGATGATGATGTCGCCAGAAGTTACCAAATGTCGGTTCCGACTTCCGTTTCGCTAATTTCAATTTTATGCCAAATTTCTTTGCTTTTCTTGCACAGTTTTTATCGGCAATATACGAAATCAATAGTCAGGGAACAATGTTTGTTAATCTAACATTTTCACGGTTCAAATCGGATCACGCGTTTTTTCAGATCCTGTTTTGTTTTGTGCCGGTCATGGCTTAGAAGCGCTGGTGACCAATATACTCACCATTGATCTGGGTTTGCCATACGGCATCAGCCGTGCCCCACAGCGCAGGGACGATGAAGAACATGGCTAAATTGTCCGGGGTTGGCCTCCATGTGAACATGATGATGATGGCAGCAGCATTCAATATGGCGGCGAGCGTGAACACAGGAAGTCTACCCACAATTTTCACCAGGGGCGTGAAGCTTATTGAGCAAATGGCATCACAAACCCCGAAGCAAATCATAGTGTAACCAACCATGTGAACTCCAAGTCCACAAGACACGTATGCCTGGAATAAATTGTAAATTTGTAAAGGTCTTGCATTTCTTAATTATATTTAAAATGTGGTCTTGCATGCCTCTGTAACCTGCTAACATGAGCCAACAGCTTAAATGTTATGGATAGCTCTATCATTTTTATTTAGGAAGTAACACTCTATTTCCATTCATTTTATTAATTCAAACAGAACTAATTATTGTATCGTTTTTTTTTTTTTTTGTTCTGAACAAAACATAACTTGCCTAATTCCTTAATATAACTCGATAAATGAAATTTTTAAAGTTCATAGCTAAACATGTTCCAGACGATGTAAACAATTTTTGATTCCGAACAGTTTCAAAATTCACCGCAGTGTAATCCGCGCCTATGTATCCCTGCTCCACCCCGGACCAGATGGTGAGCGGGATGATGAGGAGCTGGAAGGGATGACGCATGTGGTTGAAGGTTGCAACCAGCAACTGCAACCCGCTCTTGCCGGTGGATGACGCGTCTTTAGTTTCATCAACGAACCTTCAACATTAGAGATTTTAGAAAATACAAAATTTCTAGCCGTGCCATCAGTTTAAATCTAAAACTATCGCACTTGAAGTCACAAAAAGATTTTTCAGTTATCAAGAAATGAGTTGAAAGTTAGCTAATTGTTTAGAGACGCATCCGAAGTTAGATTACTATATAAATGGATAATTTTTTAATCATGACTGTCAAGTGAATTTTTTCACTCACCGCGTCAAAGGATCTACGAAACTAGCGATGATGACGGAAGCCAGCAAAGAGAGCACCAAGTATATGCTAGCCATGGTGTAGATCTTTGACTGTTCAGGAGGATCTATCGTCGTCACGTTGCCAGACGACAAGTTGTGGTGCGGGCAGAAGTTCACCCCACACAATTGTAGTTGCTCTTCGGTGCGTCGGGGCGATTCTCCCTGGGATAAAACTGAGGGAAAATTTAATTTATTACTCAAAATATTTTTAATCAGATATTAACAAACAAAAAATTTCGAATTATAAGATAGTGTGTTTTACGTAGGTTTCAACCTGAAATTTAGGATTAATGATAAACACAAAAATTCTTCAATGGCATCGTTTAATGTTTATTTTTAATTTGAGTATATATATTTCCATTTAAATTTGTATTAAAAATATTTATAATCTAAAATAGTCAAATTCTTTTAATTCTACATAATCATGCTTAATTCTATCACCTGTTGATGAAATGAGATTGCCGATCACCTGCGACGATTGGAAGAACAGGAAGAACAGCCCGAAGAAGCGCGTTATGATCACCTCGCTGTTCTCACCCACGATTTCTCCGTACCGTTTTCCTACCTAAAATTTAGGGTAAATTTCGGATACATTTAGGGAAAAATTAAAATACTTATGGAGACATGAAATATCAACATATTTAATCTTATATGCTTAAAGCTGATAACTTTTAATGCGACGATTATTTCAAGACAAAAGCATAATTTCGTTATCTATTTATTTTAAAATATCGATTTTGCCGGATCATATATTTAGCCACTATTTTCCATAATTAAATTCAATTTTTCATTCAATTGCTATTTGAGTTATTCGACTGTCGATGTTCTTCAAGATGTCTTAAACACCGTTATTTCCCTACTCGATATAAATGAAACAAAATTGTAACTTTTCGAGGAAAGAAATTTAGTATTATATTATCTCAAAACACATTTAGATCTACCGCAATGTATAAAAACAAAATAGTTACAGATTCTAAAAAATAAATCGAATAATCATTCGTTTTAGCACTCGCCCGCGACAGGCTGTGGATGTTCTGCAATGTTAAGAATCGGCGACAGGCCTATACGGCCTAATAAACGCTAAAACCTGCTATATTAGTATTATTATTATTATATTATTATCTCTATTTCAAATATGGTTGCAATAAAACCTAATATTTTTTTCAAAATTGAAATTCCTTGACTACTTACAAATATCGTAAAATCTATTTGCAACTACACATTATATACAAAAACTGCTACATTGTTCCACTAACCTGGGTGAGATATGTGCATTTCGACGACCACATCGGAGCAGCTCCCAGTCCCAAGATGATGGCGGTTGGGATGAGGGTAAAGTGCCGAGGGTAGAACTGGGCGGCGATGTACGATGAGTAACCCAACACACACAACGCCATGGTCCACTTCACCGTGAGTTTCTTGATTAATAAAGTCGGGATGAAGGCGCACGATACGACCAGCGCCGCGTACAGGACGGCCAGAGCTATGGTTCCTGATCCGCTGTGAAAAAATATTTACTACATTCAGGTATTTATTCCTTGTATGTGGCCGAGTGGTGATGCACACCAAGATTGAAGCTGTGAGTCGTAGGTTCGAGCCAAAGATAGCTGCAAACTTTCAACAATATCGCCCGTAGGTAGGAGTGACTGCTAGCTGTCGAAGGCGGTGCTCACTGCGTGACTGAGGGGTACTTGAATTCAAAATTCAAGTTTCGTCTTTTAAAATTAAATAAAAAATTTAAAAATCAAAATTTTGTTTTATTTTATATTCAATATAGCAAAGATTATATAAATTAACTTCCAGTACACAGCCTCAAAAACGCGTCCTATGTAATTTCATCAGGTCCCGAGCAAAAATCTTAAAACCATTTTTTCCGAGAACATGCAACATACTTTGGTATAAAAAAAATCAATATGGTTGATTTATAATGGTTTCTTGTGTTTGACACATATCCGTTTGAGATAAAATAAAAAATAACAGCATAGATTTTAATTTAACACAAAATTTTTACGACATTTAAACTTCTCATGCATAATGAAAAAGAAATTGTCTGTGTAGATACGCAGTGACCTGTTTCATCCTTCATTGACCATCATGTTTTTCTTGACATATAAGCTTCATTGAACTGTACTAGAGCAGGCGTGACCATCCATAAATACCGCATTGTTTTCTCTCTGCTATTCTCTACATGACTTCCTGAACAAACTTTAAACGAATCAGATGTCCTGTGCGTGTCTCCTCAAACAACTCCTTGTTTGAAATGCCTTATACGAGCCGTCTTTAATGTATTTAAATTATGATAAAATAGTTAAGTCCCTGCTGAATGGATTGTCTACAACAGATAGAGAATCAAAACATCAAAGGCATATGCAAATATTAAGTTCTTCTTTAGCAATAGATAATATTAGTAAATATTAGTATGTACTCGAATCGACAAATTTTTTATTATTATCACTTAGGAAGTACAATAGGAGAAGATAGAATATTTATCGATTAAAACGAATTAATTAACTGAAGAATTGGTGTAAATCATCATATTATCGTCAACTTCGACTTGTATCACGAACATTCAATCAAGTGACAGTGCCAAACACTGAAATATGAGGAAGAGCAAAAAAAAAGCTCATGAGACCATCGTTTTTTTTTTTTTTGCAGTTCTCATTTGCCCTATTTTATCTTTTTCTCACGGATTTATTGAAGACTGATCTTTTTCTCACGGATTTATTGAAGACTGATCTTTTTCTCACGGATTTATTGAAGACTGATCTTTTTCTCACGGATTTATTGAAGACTTATCTTTTTCTCACGCATTTATTGAAGACTGATCTTTTTCTCACGGATTTATTGAAGACTGGAGGTTTGCCATAGACTGGAATGAGGAGAAGAGCAGGAAGAATGCGGTAGAGATTATTATTATATTTTTGAGTATATGAAACTTCTCCCTGCGCTCCTCTGCCGTCAGTTGTTTCGGCCGCGCTACAGGCGGCAGCTTGGAAGCTGGCGTCTTTGGATCTGGAAACAAAGGTTTTCTTAATGAAAAAAAAAATAAAAATTAATGAAGCATAGAACATCATTTATTAACAATTCATTTCAAATTTGATTTCTCTGCATACACACGTAGATAAATTTGTAATAATCTTCATGAGTTTATTTGGATTTATAATCTTCATTAGGGCCACCAATTATTAAAAAATTTTTGTAACAATTTAAGCCAACAAAAAAAAGTACCTTCATCTTTGTAGTCCTCGAATCCATCGTTCGTGTTTCCTTTACTATTCATTTCCATGATTGCAAATGTTTTTTTCGTCGAAAATGAACAGCTAATAAAAGCTCAGGTATAAAACCAAGACAAATATCTGTCGGAAAATCATAAAAATTAATTAATGATGTTTGTTGGATCAGGAATTTTATTCATTTCAATATAGGCTGCATAGCATTTCGCTCACATTACACAGCTGTGCTTTAGTTATAAATCAACTGAGTTATTAGCTGCGGCTTAATAGAGTTAAATTTCAATTACTATTAATTAATTTATAGGCCAAATTATTGAGATAATTCCAGTGTCGGCAGCGCTGACGACCACGTATACGAGCCGCATGAAAAACTTGCCCGGTGCGTCGGACACGCAAACTGCCTTTCACATTCAAGCACCCAACCCTGATGCGACCCTGCTGAGGGTATTCAACCCTGATGACGACCCTGCTGAGGGCACTCAACCCTGATGACGACCCTGCTGAGGGCGCTCAACCCTGATGACGACCCTGCTGAGGGCACTCAACCCTGCTGACGACCTTGCTGATGACGCTCTATCCTGATGACGACCCTGCTGAGGGCACTCAACCCTGCTGACGACCCTGCTGAGGGCGCTCAACCCTGATGACGACCCTGCTGAAGGCACTCAACCCTGATGACGGCCTTGCTGATGGCGCTTTATCCTGTTGAGAGCACTGATGGTAGGGCGTAAAGTGGCGGTTGCTTCGTTTATAACTGCTGTGTAGTAGCATGAGTCTTTCAATCAGCAGAAACGTTTCAATACAGGACCCTTTCTTCTTTCTCTGTTCGTCTAATTCATGGTACAGACTTCAATAAAAAAATTTGCATTAAATCGTACATGATGACCTGCAAATCGAAAAAAATTATCAAAAATGTAAACTATTTATAATAGTAAATTCAGTACAATCGCCATTTATGGTGCGAGACCATGCAATAATTTGTCTATTTTCATGAAAAAGGGAATGCGTAAAAGTTCTAAACGAATTAGGATGAAGATGGCATAGCGTTTCATGGTACCTTGGACGATCGTAACCCTCTCTGGGGCGAATACAGCACAGTTAATGTTAATACAGCACATTTAATGTTAATACAGCACAGTTAATACAGCACAGTTACAGTTAATACAGCATAGTTAATGTTAATACAGCACAGTTAATGTTAATACAGCACAGTTAATACAGCACAGTTAATGTTAATACAGCACAGTTAATGTTAATACAGCACAGTTTATGTTAAGACAGCACTGTTACTTGTTATGTCCTGACGCTGAAGCAGTTCACCTTGTATCCTGTAAGGCTGTAAGCCAGCGCACCTATACATAGACTAATATTCTAATCAGGCAGTCATTTTATTTTCTCCCAATGGTTCTGAACTATAGACCTTAACGTCAAATCACATACCATTTGCGTCTATCATATTTAGTGCTCACCAACCAATTTTTGACTCAACTGATTAGTCGTTTAACTGAAATCATTGAGACGGGCGACTCAGTAAGAAACTCATTTATTTTAGCAATTTATTTATTCGCCATTTATTTGGTAGATAGTTAATAACGATCAAGACATGACATTTCCTTGGCTTTTTGTTCACTCGTTTATTCTAACTCTCACTTTAACTTTCACTTTAATTAAAATTCATAAAATGGTTTACGAATATTCATATTATTTTACTGAGTCACTAGGCATTCATTAAAAACTATTTAGGTGATAAACAACATGTAATTAAAGGCTCATAGTTTCGATAAATTTTCCTAGAGTTTACAAAGAAGGAAAATTCTTAGCCATTAAGGCCTGTAAATAATGTAGGGAGTAACCGCATACATCAAAGTGAAAGTGCACAAAAAGTTTTAAAATGTTTTTACACGAACTCGGATTCCGTTTTGAACAAAAAAAGTGAACTGTTAACTGTGATCGCAAACGAGAGTATAGACATTATTTGTATTACAGAAACACTTCCTAAAAATCACGGGGAGAAAATTGTACCTGTTGAATTTCAGCTGCCAGGTTTTGATTGTTTTCATAACTTAAATGA